TAAATAACAGCAAAATAAAAAAATAAAATAAAATAAAAAAATATCCTATACTAAATATAATTGAATATATGTTCAATTGTAATTTGTGTTGTTACAATGATTATTAACACGTTTATCTCGCACCTGGACCTACATGAAGAGGTTAAAACCTACATTTGATTTATAGCGACCCTACTCGCCTACTCAAGCCACAGGGTGGGAATTATATTATCAAGTTGCCTTGCCCAGTTGGTTAGTGCAATATTTGATTACCAGAGCTCGCTTTGGTTTGTTTTGCTTCAAATCTAGTTTTCAACCGTTAAATTAAATCTAATTCAACCCCGTATAATTTATGTTTAAATTTATTTTTTTCCTACCTAATATAATTAAGGTTTCCCTTATTAAAGTTATTTAAAAAAAAAAATTCTTCTCTCTCTCTCTCTCTCTCTCACCCTCTCCCTCTCTCTCTTCCTCTCCCTCTCCCTCTCCCTCTCCCTCTCCCTCTCCATCTCCTTCTCCCTCTCCCTCTCCCTCTACCTCTACCTCTCTCCCTCTCCCTCTCTTTCTCTCCCTCTCCCTCTCTCTCTCCCTCTCTCTCTCCCTCTCTCTCTCCCTCTCCCTCTCCCTCTCCCTCTCCATCTCCTTCTCCCTCTCCCTCTCCCTCTACCTCTTCCTCTCTCCCTCTCTCCCTATTCAGATATTTTCAAGTATATCAAAAAACACATTAAAAAAAAATCCTATATCTATCTTAACATATATATATATAAATCTATTTTTAAATATCCAATATTATAACAGTTTGTTTCACAATAATTATGTTAAATTTGTACACATAATATGAACAAATACGTTGGAAAGTCTACACATATGTTGACACCCCATTCTTCAAACATCCGTCGTTTTTAAGAAGAGGATTTATACTACTAAATTATATATCGTCGATTCGTTTCAATAATCATTAGTGATATTTCTTGACGTTAAAAAGCTCGTCCAAATTTCTTTTTTAATATTGCAACATTCTACACTTCTTTTAGATATATTTAATTTTGCTGCAATTCCAATTTTTTTTTATTGATAGATGAGGTCAAAATTCACAAAAAAAAAGTTCAACTCTAACAAAAATGTACTTTATGACTTTTGCAATAAATCGAGTATATATATATAGGAAGGAAATGGTTCGGGGTTGCGGTCATAAATAGGCTAAATAGTGGTAAAACTATTTTATTGAAAGCCAACTTTTCGACCCGACTATGCAGGTCTTCATCAGGGAGGTGTGTTCATCTAGTAGTTTCACTTAGAACTGAGTTCAGTGATCAGTTCTTAGTTTCACTTAGAACTGAGTTCAGTGATCAGATCTTAGTTTCACTTAGAACTGAGTTCAGTGATCAGTTCTAAGTGAAACTCCTAGATGAACACACCTCCCTGATGAAGACTTGGAAAGTCGGGTCGAAACGTTGGCTTTCAATAAAATTGTTTTACCACTATTTTGCCTATTTATGACCGCAACCCCGGACCATCTCCTTCCTTTATAATGCAACGGTCAACTATTAAATATTCTCTCTCTCTCTCTCTCTCTATATATATATATATATATATATATATATGATATATATACACTAATGATATATATATATATATATATATATATATATATATATATATATATATATATATATATATATATATATATATTGTAAATTAGGTTTGATAAATGAAACACAATTAAAATTATTCCTTTTCGCTTACAAGAATTTAATAGAAATATGATGAATGAACACGTTTTGTTAAATTTAGTGTACGTGGTGTTGCTTTATTGGCTGATAAATAAAACTCAGAATTTCAATGAATATTAGAATTATATTTGAGAAAGGATAATTTTAGTGAATAAGTATTATTATTATTTAATTGTTAATATAAATGTTTAAAACATCCTCTCAATGCAGAGATAAGATTTCCCATTGCTAACGTGTTGTGAAAGACCTCCATGCAAGTGAATAAATCTAGGACTATCGAGGTTCCAAAGCTTGAGGGAAGGAACGGTCGGAGGATCTGAGCCTCCTTTTGCATGAATGGTGCTGAGCCAAGGAGCGCTGGAGGAGCTATAATCCTTTGAGGAAAGGACTCGTTGAGGGGAAGGATCTGGAGAACTCGAGTCTGGAGGATCTTCTCGTACTTATTTATAGCTGTTACTATTGTCATGGTTTTAAATAAATAAATACACACACACACACACACACACACACACACACACAATTACATATATATCACTTTTAGCATGAGTTACCTTAAGGAAGTTATTGTGATACTGTGATGTAACACTATATTTTAAACAATGTTTTCACTAAACCAAGATAAGTAGTCGTTTATAGTCTTTATCATTATCATCGAGACTAAAAACATACGAAAATTTATAATTATATTTATGAAATTCTTCATATTATATCCTTTACTATGGAATCTCAACCAGTTTTGCTCTATATTAAATCAACACACACAATCATGAAAATGTTAAAAATTGCAGCTTCTTAATGGGACCAATAAAGTCTAGAATATTAAGGATGAGATTCAGAAAAATAGTTGAAACGCATCTTTATGAAGATGTGTGGATATGGAAAATTATCTTGTGCCAATATTCGATAATGCAATCAACTAATTCAGTTTGAATGCAGAACACTACAAAATCATCATTCCTTATATTTTAAAGATGGATATATAGTTGAATGTTAAAATTAAGAAGGATGACAAATAATCAGAATATGCATTCTTTATATGCTTTATAAAGACGTTTCGGCCTAAACATATGGATCATCATCAGGTCTAAAAATTAAAAAAATTACCCTTGATAAATTGGATGTAGATTGAAATATTTAAATAAGAAAAATAGTATAGATGTAACGATATCATTGAAACTATAATTTTCAAAAATATATAAATATTGTTAATATTAATATTACAATACTTCAATTCTATTTCTAATTATAAACAAACAGATTGTATTCTTTAGTCCAATACTTTCTTTTCTCCTTAGGTTCAACCTTTTATTAAATTTTCAAGTTAAGAAACTTTGCTTTATAAAAATAAAATCATTTAAGCTAATGTGCCTTTGTTAATCGATCAGCAAAGACAAATCATCTCAATTAATTTATTTTTATTTTATAAAGTAATGATTCTTGTCTTGAATATGCCCTAAAGGACTAAGCATAGGCGGATCTTCGAGGGTTTTTTGGGCTAAATCCCTTTCCCCCCCCCTACAGGGTAAAATATTTAAACCAAGATAAAATAATGTAAAGTAAACATGAAATAACAGATAAAAAATATATAAGTCAGTATATAAAAAAGTAAAAATGAATCAAATAAAGGATTAGTATAAATAAATAAATTAAATAAATAATATATATGCATACATCAGGCCTAAGACTACCTTAGGAGTTTTTTTTAATTATTAAATATAATTGCAATACAATACGCAAAGTGTAAATAGGACAAGATAAAATTATGTTCTTATGAGATAACGGTGGTATAAACATAACAGTAATATGATCACAATAGAATGCAAAGAAAAACTAAATAAATAAATACATAAAAAGTAAATATGAATGAACTAAATGATTAGTACTAATACATAAATATGATAATAGAGCTAAGAATAACTGAAATTAATGAACAGGCAAACTGGAATAATAATATTTTGTCACGAAATATGAACAAGTATGTAAAGCAACAAATGGAATCTAAAGTATTGAAATAAAAAATATAAATTGTAACAACAATTAAACTGCTATTGGTAATTGTTAACCTGCAATTTATTTTTGTTATTTTTATTTTTATACTTTAGGTTCCTCTGTTGTTCCTAGTTTGTGGATACTTATTCATATTTTTTTTTCTTACAAAATCTTATTTATTAATTTGTCTGTTGTATTCCTGATATTATTTTATATTTGAAAAAATTCGCTTCAATTATTCTTTGCCCTATACTTTTTTTTTCATATTTCTTATTTTTTATTCGTACAAATAATTTAATTTATTTATTTTTATGTTCTATTGTGATCATATTACTATTATGTTTATATTATCGTTATCCCAGGTGTACTTCACATTATTTGATCTTGTATTTACATATTCCTATCTATATCTCATTTAAGTGGGGCATATTTTTAATCTAGATGATGACCCATACGCATACGTCGAAACGTCGGCAGGCATAATAAACCTTATAAAGACTGCATATCTTGCATAAGATTTGTCATCCTCATAAATTTAAGAGACGACTGAAAAAAAATTGTAAGATACGTATTTATAGCTCCACGAAAAAAAAATTTAAATTGCTTGAAAATAAATATAAAAATGGTGGAAGTAAATATAAAAAGAATTATTGAAAATTCATATACAAATATAATCATTTATTAATCAAAAGATTTATAACTAAGATTTGGATAATAATCAATAAAATTTCTCAGCTTAAAAAATAAATTCAAATTAAATTGATCATAGCTGAAATCTATTAAAAGAAATTGAATTATTAATTATAAAACAAAAATAAATAAAAAATATTACTATAATATTTTTTTAAATAATTATTAAACTTACTTAATAATTAAACTATTGTGTTTAAAATTGTGTTTCATTTGTATATGGTAATCAGAGAGACAGCTTTCTTTGAACACATTTCTATTTTTTGTGTGAGTGAGATGGATTATAGGTCAAATATCAATGTTAAAACAATATTTATTTCTCGATTTATCAATATTATTCGAACAACCCTAATAGTTTTTCGCATGTATTTTAAGGTGAGGTTAGATATTTCGAAAACGCAGACAAGAAACAGGGTGTTTTAGTAATTTTTACGTTTATGGAAAAACATTGTTGGTAATTGCATTTGACCTAACCTATTATAAATTATAAAGGAACCAAAAGAAATAATAGAAGGCGAAACATTCTTCAAAATGGTAGGTGAAGAAAATTCACTTAAATCGTATTAGAAGTCATTAAATTTAACATCATCTCTTCAGCAAAATAAACAATCAACAAATGTCCAAAAGCGACATAAAGAAGTGGTTGGAGACGTAGTTCGGATATCCCTCGCCTAGAGGGACAACCTATTCACATAGTTAGAAATATTTTCACATACCTTTAATATTTCATATGAATGATTTTTGGTGAATCGGTTGTAATAATAAATTTACTTCAGATTCGAAATTTAAGATTAATAATAAATAATCTTAGTCAATATCAATAAATTGGTAACTTGGCTTAAAGAAAAATTGGTTTTTATTATAGTTATTTCAATAAATTGGAACTTACATAAACAATCAAACTGTAACCTTCTGCTACCTTATGAAAATATCGTATTAAACATCTGTAATATTAAACAAAACATATGATCTTACATAGCCTAACATGAATCAAGACAATTTAAAAACAGAAGTGAAAAATTGATAGGGTTTCGATTAATCGCAAAAAGTGAGTGTTGGATACGATATTCAACTTTTTTTTTTCTTCGAAAAGATCCGACTTCTGCATTTTATTGAAATTGCAATATAAATTGAATCCCTTGCCGGAAAATGTTTGCACTTAAAAGAACTTTAGCGAAGCCAAGTAGAAGTATTTTATGGAAGTCATTACACACATTACCAGAATTAACATACAGTTACGATGCATTGGTACCAATCATTTCTAAAGATATAATGGAACTTCACCACATGAAATACCACAAAACTTATGTGACCAACTTAAATGAAATCGAAAAAAAAATGAAGGAAGCCCTTTCAAAACAGGATGTGAATGAAGTAGCAAGATTAACTCCTTATCTAAAATTCAACGGTGGTGGTCATATCAACCATTGCATATTTTGGAAAAATCTATCCCCAGAAGGCGGAGATCCGAGTGAAGAGCTTTGTGAGGCTTTTACTCGCGATTTCGGGGACTTTCGTGGTTTTAAAAAAGAGCTCCAAACCTTGGCTAATGGCATACATGGTGGTGGATGGGCGTGGCTTGGTTACAACAGGGGATACAAACGGCTCGAGTTGGTGGCTCTTGAAAACCAAGATCCTCTCGAAGGTACTACAGGTTTAGTCCCACTCTTGGGTATTGATGTTTTCGAACATGCTTATCACCTGCAGTACAGTAATCGCCGTTCCCAGTATGTAGAGAAGATATTTGAAATTATCAATTGGGAAGACGTCAGTGAACGTTACAAGGAAGCCTGCACCCGGGAACCACCTGCTCCATTAACATTTCAACGATCGGACTGAAGTTGAATAATTACACTTATTCAATTAGATTCGCTTACAAGTTTAATAATACACTTTACAGGTAAAATATAAGAATATTAGATTTAAAAATGTTGTTTTGTGTTTTTATTTTTAAAAATTTAGAATGAATATTTGTGTTTTGAACTCTTCCATCGTTGTTAGCTCCCTCCTAGTTTATGTCAAACTTCGAATGAAGCCTAACTATTTAATTGTGATTTAATAAAAGAAAAAGAAATAAAGTGGACTGTATGTTCAAACATTTACTTTGGAACATTTACGAAATCTAATATTGAAAACATAAAAACAAAATGAATCAATTTTACACTTGTTAGATAGGTAAAAAAAATGACAAACTTCTAGCATAAAATAAAGACCAGCTGAACAAACAATTGTGACAGTATTAATGAAATATTTTCATGCTTGATCATAAAAGAAAAACTATTTCTATGGCCCAAATTACAATAAAAAAAAATAAAACAACAAAACAACTTCTCTAGAGTCCCAATATGAAAGTTATATATATATATATATATATATATATATATATATATATATATATATATATATATATATATATATATATATATATATATATATATATATATATATATATATATATATATATAACAAATAATTAGATTGTACAACGTTACGTGGACGAAGCAGGACGTTCGTAAGCTTCTGTCTCTATGCAGAAACCAATTGTAACTCTTCAATGAGCGTGCTCAAAACGAACTGCAAATGGGCAGCGGCGAGCACGACGAGAGAAGTACGTCTCTTCAGAGTAGAACTGCAGTGGGCAGTGTTGAAGTTGGCAGTACTCAGCTCAGTGACGGCGGAGTCAGACTGTCTATTGTCAATTCTACCGCCTTAGGACTTGAACCTAGCACTTGTTTATAGCTAGTGTTACAATCCATAACAAAGTAGTCCAAGTATAAACTATTGATCTATTTAATGTAAACAATATAAGCTATGGGCCTATAATACTTAATATACACCTATCTTATACATAAATATACATATTATTAATTGATTTCACTTTGCTAAAATAAAACAAATCAATAATTAATCAAACTAGTTAAGTGTAAAATAAAATTAATTAACGCTGTGACGTTTTTAACTGTAAAAATAAAATAAATTGACGTTGTGGCGTTAAAATCGTTAATATTTATAATTTTTTTTATTCAGGATATTTACAAATTTATTAAAATTAAAATAAATTTGGTGACATGAGAAGACTTGTGGAGAAATTAACCTCTGGTAACACTTTTAAATATTGAAATCTAATACTTTATTAAATAAATACTTCCAGTAAAAATAAATAAAACAAGAATAATGAAATAAACAGAGAAAGCTGTTCTAATAGTTCAAAGTAAGAAGATCCTGAGGCCATCTTATTTTCAGACGCCTTTAATTATCAATAATCGAGGAGGGAGGAGGAACGTCCTTTGAAAAGTTTTTTTAGCATCACATGTTTTAATTTTAAATTATAACGCATGAACATTTACTAAATAATAGCATTTGTCGAAAATATAATGTAAAAAAATTATTCCTAACAAAAAAAATTTAAGTCCCATCTATAAAAAAAAAAAAAACCCTGCAAATTATTTCACAATGGCTTATTATTTCCAAACAATTATACATTTAAAGTAACATTACCTTCCAAGTTACAAAGAAAAATAAACAAAAGGCGATTCCAATTATTGGACAACATTTTTTTTTGTAATCATTAGTAATATGCTAAAAAAAATATAGCATTAGTTCAGTTACACATTCAAAATTTGAAAACCAAACCAAGGATATCACATTTGGAGTAGAACATATAAAAAAAAACCGAAGACCATATCTTTGCTCCTAATTATCCGATTTTAACGATTTTTTTTTGTTTTTTATGAATTTTCGTAAACTTTTAAAAAACTATACAATATCAATTAAATCTATATACAAAAAAAAAAAAATAAACTTTTGGAGTTATTCGGAATTTAATTTTACTATCCCTCGTAACTTTTTTTCCAGCTTCTTTTCGTTGAAGTATGTTATATAGATAAATTGAAAGGGCGTCGAGAAAATTACTTTAGTGAAGTTTCATTGAAATCTGTACATTGGTTTAGGAGCTACAATCTATAGCAACGCAGGTTTTTCAACCGCCATTTTGAAAGTAACCGACGGATAGTAATGTCGATGAAGGAGGATCGTTTTCGGGTGACCTCTGATTTTATATCAAATTTTGAAAAAAATCTGTCTAGTAGTTTCGGAGAAAATGCGCGGAGGACAGCGGACGGACAAAAAAATTATTATTCGTTTTTCGAATTCTACCCGTTCTGAAACATTAAACCTCAAATTTTGAGAGGGGGTCATATTTTTGATTTTTTTTTTGTCGATCACAGTGGTTGATTATTGAAAATAATAAACCAAAAAATTAAATCCATACCAACTGGACTTGTGGTAGCCCTAGTTGGCTCCAAAGTTGAATACTACAATTGATAACTCTTATCACGGAATCACTGTTATCAGACAATCCATCATCATAGGCGTCGACTTGAGGAGAGCAAGGGGAGGGGAGGGGGGGAGGGCGCCCCCCTAATAAAATTAAAGAACCGTGAGAGAATGTAGTTTGGCCCCTCCCCCCGATATTCCGAAGAAAAAAAATCATAATCCATAACAATCAATCTTCATGTGTGATTAAAATATTTATAACCAAATCAACTAAGAAATTAGGAAAACTCGACTAGAGGCCTAAGGTAATAAATAATGCCTAAAAGTTGGTACGCAGGTATTTTACCACATCCGCAGTTTCTATTATTGGAATTTTAGTTTTCGTGTGCACTATTTTTACATGAGGATTTTATTACATTTCCCGCAGCAAATTTGAAGCATCGGAAAATTGAGAGTTGATCTCAGTACCTTTAAATAAAGAATTAAAATATGTAATATATTCAGTTACTTTGTTAGCATATAATAACATATTTAATATATATCCGTAAGCCTTTTTAAAAAAAAAAAAAAAAAACTCTTATAGCCCTCAAGCCAATAGGCCACCCCTAATTGTCCGAATAAGCCGCTCAGGTTAATTAGATTTTAGGGACATTTGAACCATCAAAAAGTTCAAAATTTTGGAGCATTTTTAGAAAAGTTTCTCTTGATCACGTTAAGATACAATTTTGAATAATACGCCATTACAAAATGGATGAAATGCTGGACATTTTCTTAGCTTACAGTATACAGATCCGAATTTTGGTTTCTGAGATATTTTAATCCATATCTTCAATAAAACTCGTTATCAGTTGGTTTTGGTATTTTTCTCCTTTTTGTCTCTCTAACACTGTATCGCGTTAAGATAAAATTTTGAATAATAGCTCATTACCAAGAGGATGAAATTATGAGCATTTCCCTCATTAACAATATGCAGGTCCGATTTTTAGTTTTTGAGATTTTTTATCCATAAGAAACACACACTTCAATTAGTCGAGTCCAGTCGACTTTATCCGATCGTAACACTAGAAAAATCTGACGGGTCAATTTAATTCACTCACCACAAAAAAAAATGCTAAACGCGCCTGAAGAATTTTTAACTTGAAAAAACCTAATATTATTTTTTATTTATTCATGATATGTACAACTGTATTAAAAAATAAAATACATTAAGTAAATTTGATACGAGAAAATAATAACATGAAATGACTTGTTGAGAAACTACCCACTCGCAGCACTCTAAAAACAAAATGTATTTACAATAATCGAGGTCATCTATTTCTATTATTCGAGGTCATAATGATCTCGAGGTCATCTTCTTTTCAGACGCCTCGGAGGGTTATCAGGAATAGAAGAGGAAGCAAGGTTAGAGACGAGAGGATTCGGATGGTTCTGAAGTTTATTATGGAAGGATTGGGCCAAACCGGAAACATAACGAGCATTAAGGTCATTATGGATTATTTTATTGGTGACAAAGTAAGGAGCATTGAGTATTTTCCGAAGGATTTTGTATTGTAAGGATTGAATACGAGAGGAATTCGATGGCTTAGTGGAGCCCCAAAGCTCAACTCCGTAAGTCCAAATAGGTCTTATTGTAGTCATGTATATATGTCTTTTGTAACTAACTGGTAGCTTAGAGCGTTTGTCTAGTAAGTGTTGGAGTAGTCGGAAACGTCGAGGGGTTTCTTGTCGTTTCAATCTGGTATGAGGATTCCAAGTTAGCCGTTTGTCCAAGTGAAGTCCAAGGTATCGGATTTGTTCAACAGGGATAAGTAAGATATTATTAAAGGATACTGTGGGACATGAGGTCATAGGTTTACGTCTAAGGGTAAAGGTGATTTGATGGGATTTATTAGAATTTATTTTAATCCTCCAGTTTTGACACCACTCTTCAAGGTTTGTGATGTGAGATTGAAGAGTTTGGGATGCAATGGTTGGGTTATTATTAACGGATAGGACACATGGATCATCGGCATACATGGTGACATAGTATTATATGGTTCGTTTTACAATGATTATGTTAATTTTCACTCATAATTTTTATACATGATATAAGCTAGCAAGAATTTATTTGGGGAAGTCCATACTCTGCCTCCCAACCAGAATGAAATGTTCTAGCCTATTTCGGCTCTCTCCACGACCAAAAGTCTGTCCGCCATATAGGTCATCTACAAGTCAGGTATAATAAAAATGTGGTAAAATGAGAGCCACCAAGTCGAGCATGGACATCTTTTATATTTGTCTCGGGTAAAATCACTTCCATCAAATGTTTTATTCATTCATTTGTTTCAAATCAGTGGTGGACATGATAAAGCCGTTTCTCTCTTTATCAGGTCGACTTGCGCTATGTTTTCGATCAAAGAGAAGTAACCAAAAAGGATATCGATTTTGGAACAATAAGACACTTTATATACGAGGCAATAAACAGCAACTACAAAGGGCTGCCAACCAATAAATGCCAACCCCTCTTATTTCAACAGCCTTTCGTCCGATTGGAGCTCATCTCCTTCCCGATTCCGAACCCTTCTCCATCTCTCTCACTCACGTTCACATACACTTTCTCTCTCTTACAAATACACACTCTATCTTTCAGCTCATGATTTATCGCTCTCT